GCAACAACGTAACGCAACAACGTAACGCAACAACGTAACGCAACAACAAAACGCAACAAGGTGACGCAACAACGTAATGCAACAGGTACAAATAAAAGTAACCTGAACGCAACAACGTAACGCAACAACGTAACGCAACGCAACAACAGGTACAAATAAAAGTAACCTGAACGTCACGCAACAACGTCACGCAACAACGTCACGCAACAACGTAACCTAACCGCAACCAAACTTAGCATTAACGTTATGTAGCAAGTGGTAAGTCCATATTTCCTTTTGGTTTTAAACGGGACACGAACAGTTGTCTCCTTGGTGAAAGTCCTAGGTTGTTTGATTTATACACCCTTAATGGACTTTCTTGCTCTGTATACTTGTAATTTTGCCACGTAACTTCCAATAACGCTCGCTCCATACATTACATCACTAACTCTGCCCAAATGTACAAACGTCCACATTCAAAAAAGAAAAGTCGTACTTTGCAGAAATGACAGCATTTCTTCCAGGCGACTGGGCCTGAGTGTCTCATGTATATATCCACACATCAAGCTGGGTACCAGGCCCACAGATAAGGCTATTGTATAGCAGAGCTCCAGAACACAAAAACTGTAAATGTCATCAACGAATCAGCTGATTGGGCATTGTTTTCCCCAACACCAATGCATTCAGTAGCAGCCAGGTAGGGGGCCGGGGCGTTTCAGAACAGGTGTGCAGGCTAAGAGGAAGACCCATCGCAACATGTTATTCTTTCATCTTCAAAGTTCAAGGTGACTGAATTGATTTGGTGCTCGGTCTCACGCAAGTGGCCCGTCCCAACGAATGCGCCTTGACATCTCCTCACTGCTGGCTAATGAATGGCAAATATAGCGAACCGCAGCACTCGGCATCTGCGGAGCGACAAAGAAAGCCGGGGTCCGTCGCTGAGGCAATCAACGGCCGCACCATCACAAAGCAATACAATTTTACACACACACACACACACACGCGCACACACACGCACACACACAGACTCCCTTACTCAAAAGGCGACCTCAAATGTATTATTTCTACTTATGTTTATCGCAGTCTGTCAGCCCAGGTTAGCGACAGGAGAGGAAAAAAATAAGGACGTCCGCACATTGGGTCCATTTTTGTATTCCATTGGCTTCAACTGTAAATTACTAGGGCCTTCATCACACACCCCCACCCCCCTCCTCCAAGTCAATCCTTTTCTGCTAAGCAGGGTGGCATGTTATTAGGCCTGACATAACCAGGGTTAATAGAATTCTTCAGGGGTCTACAACCATCCCACTAGCAGAGAAATAATAATCCTTTATCGCAACACATGCACAAACAACTGAGGGGAAGGAAAATAAAAACAAATGCAGGGAGAAAAAATCTTTAGCAGTGATCAAATATGATGTA